AAAAACTTTACACATTACTTTACAATAAAAAAACCAGGGTTTCGCCCGAGGGGCGAAAGTTCTGGACCTTAGTCCGAACCCGACTGAGCCTTTCCCCCAAGTGATCCTTTCTATATAAACCAAAATTTATGTGACTGTTGATTGTATTTTACAATGTCACGTTCAATGTAAATTAATGAAATGAAGGTTTGTTTCATTGTCATAAGTGTCTTTTTAATTATTTAATTTAAACATTAAATACTTGTTTAGAATTTTTGGTAAATTCTTTAGATTTTTTTCAATTAATAATAATGCCAATTATTACAGGTGCATAGTAAGTGTGCGGATTACGAAGCTGAAACGTACATTTGTGACTACTGCAAATAGACTTTCATTTTTTAGTTTTTAATTAGTTTTGGAAGATGTATTCCTTAGTTATAGCTACTGTAAATTTCATGCAGCTAATTTGGAATACCCTATTCTAAATTATCTGCAGGTTATATTTTAAGGTCAAAATGTTTATTTTTAAGTTAAGTCCAAATATCTGTTGTTCTCTTTCTCAGAATTTTATAACAATTTGGTGTTTATAAATACATATTCTTAACAAATTTTGCATGTTTTTATCCCTTATTGATTTAGAATTTATTTTTTACATTTCTTTTTATAAATGGTATTCAAAATTACCTTCCTTTCTTCTACTTAGTGGAACTTCAGTTATGGCCATACAAAAAAAGAGCAAATACTGCAAAGCCATTATCTATTTGGAAACTTATTTTATTTTCCAAATGAAACACCCTTTAAAAAGTAAATTATTATATAAAATATTATTTTTGTGAGAATAACGCCTTCTTTGGAGTAGGAGCAGCGAGCGTGGCGATGCGGTAGCGTTGCGTCAAGCTACGAGATTGATATTTCAGATAGTGATGTAATCATTCATACGGTAAATCATTCAAATATTTGCTTACTACCATCATTAGAATTAATTCGAATATACCAATATTATTCGAATCATTTAAAATGTCCAAAATTGTAATTAACGAACGAGAGTTACTTTAGGGGATCTATTTTAAAACCACTGATCTGTATTATTTTACTGGATAGGATATAGGCTATATTTAACATACTAAAAATTCGATCCACCAAGGACACCGGAAGTGCAACACTGCTGGCCGATTTGGGCAAATTATGGTGGGTTCACAGAACTGAATTTTTGGATAATTTGACATACCTAACCTATAATTTGATTAGTTTTTCTTCTTATTCTTCTTCTATTTCTTTTGCGGGCAATGTTCTTCGGGACAATTCACCCACGATTTGATTTTTTTATGAAAGAAAATATAAAAATGGAAACGTGAAGCATATTGTGTCTTCACGAAAGAACGTTTATTGTTTATATCATAGTAATTCTATCCGATACTACCTACATAAATAAAAAAAAAACATCTCGTCGTAACTTGTTGACACAATTAAATGACAAATGTGATGACAAATGGAAATAGAGGTTATGTTAAATAACATCCGGTCCGCCATATTATTTGCCCAAATCGGCCAATTTTTCGGAACGTTTTTTAGGGGGCTATATCCTATCCAGTAAAATAATATAGATCAGTGTTTAAAACAATGAAAGTACTCACTTCTTTTAAGATTTTCATGAAGAATATCATTCGTCAACGTGGAAATAGTATTTTTAAAGCAAGTGAGAATAAACTGACTTTCTCTTGATTTATTTCGAGATATGGAATTCAAAATACTGTTGTTTTACTGACATATGACATTTCTTATAAAAATCTTTAGAAAAATAATTTCTCTCGAGTTTGAAAATAGGTCCTTAGGTGACTTGTTGAAATATGGAGTAGATTAAGCCACTAAAATTACTTATTTCTCTTAAGTAAGATACACATGCAACATTTTGCGACTTCACTAATTTTAGCGTACTGCATTCTGATTGGATAGATATTTTGCAAGTGGAGGAACTACCCAAACTCTCCAATCAGTTGTAACATTTTAAAATTAAATTTAAAAATGTTATTTCAATTGTGTGACATCCTGTATAATTTAATATCAGGTTGATTTGCCAATTGTGCGATAGCAATATGCTTAGAGAGGAACATTTCTCTAGGTGGGGATCTTGCTGGCTCTCAATATTCGAACCTTTTCATTAAAATTCATTTCTCATTTGATAACTTAAACTAACAGTTTAGTGCCCAGACTACAAAATATAGCGGTAAGTTATATTAAAGACATTTTTAAAAAATCTTAGTAAAAATTGAATTTCTACATATTGCTACTGTTATTTATTTTGAAAGTCAATTTAAATTTATTAAATAAGCTTTACTCATTTTATGAGCTAAATTTACACATTGTTTATATTAATTAGTTTTTTTGTTATCTTGATTTAATTTTAAAAAAGTAAATCTTTAAAAGTTAAATAATACCTATATCATACATGAGCATCGTGAAAAACAGAATTAGTTTTTTGCTTAGAAAGCGAATGTAAGCAATCTCACATTATAAATTTTCCTTCCTATCGAAAATTTACTGCTATATACTCAACTTTAACAGAAACTATTTTCGAATTATTCAACTGGATGTTTTGAAGCTAGAGAGGCTACCGATGATGGCGACATTCCTAACTTAGATGATCTTCAGATTTCTACATAGCGGTAATTAAAATTCACGAGGCTATATAAAAACTATTTATTATGGCATGATAAGAGTTTTAACTGAAAGTTGTTGGTACCAGCATGATAAAATCATTATTTAATTAATTCCAGTATTTTTTATTTAAATTTGTAAAATAATTCATTTCATATAATTAAGTAAACAAATTAATTTATATGTTAAATCTTATTTTTTTTATGGTTACAACAATTCTCTTTTACTTAAATTAAATTAAATATTATAGGTTTTAATTAATTTCCTTCTGATAAAGCTAGAGTTTATAATTCTCACTAGCTTTCCAAAAATTAAAAAAGAGAATTATTGGCACCCCTCTCTCCCAGAAAACCTTTATCTCCAAAAGTGTCTATTAGAAAAGCCAAATTCACGACTGAGAAAAATATATGGCAATGTGCTCATTTCTTTTTTTATTAGATTAAAGGTAAGTAATGTTTGGTGTTAAATTTCTATGAGCTAGTCAAAATTTCTTATAAGTGTTTCGTAATTAACATTTTATTGCAAAGTAACACCGACATATTACACAGTAAGCAGCGCGCCGATACCAGAAGCCAAAACGGGTGCTTGTTAAATAAAAATTAATAATGACGTATGACGTTTTGAACTTTGGTGTACTGTGTTCTGATGACATACTTTGATTTTCTTTTACTATACGGTGCAAGAGAGAGGTTCGACACGTCCAACATAGGGCGCGGCCATTTTAATTCCTATGCCACAGTTTATAGCTAAAGAATCAGATCGCTCACTCTGCGTCGGCACTTTTGATCTCAATGTTCCAGTTTATATACCGCGCAACTCGGATAATACAATATATGACAACCGCCTATAATAAAACAGCAGCCTTCTGCGTATCCTGAATTTGTATCCCTGGAGTGGATGTTATTTTGGAACTTCCAACTGGTCCGAGTGAGGTAACTGATTCTTTAGTAATAAACTGTGACTCCAAAAATAATATTCACTGACACTGATAGCAGCAAGCAAAATATCAGGTGCGTTTTAGTCATCCGCTTCTGCTTCCGGAATTGTCGGTTTAGTCGTTTTAACCTGTCAGATTAAAACAAGAAAACCGACAATTCCGAAGCAGAAGCGGATGATTAAAACGCACCTATTAAAAATATTGCGCCAAGATGTAGGCAACACGTAATAAGGGATCAAAATGGCGAAGTTTTCTATCTCCTTTTAAAAGGCACTCAGAAAGCAGCGCAGTGCGACCAAGTAAAATAAAATCAAAGTATGTGGTTCTGATTGAATAGTTAACTGCAAATGTATAAATGAAGTATGTGAAATGTATTAACTCTTGACACATTAATTGCTGCGTTTGGATATCCACATCCGATGCATTTTTTACATTTTGAGCGTTTGTTTATCCACATCAGACACATCTACTACATCTGCGTTTGTTTATTCGAGATGTAGCTATCCAGATTACATTTTCTACATCTCGGTTTGAAATGAAATGTGAACGAGATGTTTGTTCCATGCTAGAAAGTATGTGTTCTATGATGCCAGTTCAGTTACAAGTTTATTGATTTATCCTTTTTTATGCTAGCATGAATATAAAAGTGATTAGTTTGTTAATGTTTGTTTAGATTTCAAATTTAGGTTGATTTCTAGTCTCAAAAGTCAAATGCAAAAAGTATAAACGTTATTTTTACTACATCTAGAGGGTTTTGTTTATTACATTTACATTTAAATAACAACATCGCATATGCATCCGATGTGGATATTCAAACGCAGCAAATCTTGAACTACCCAATCGATGATGGCATATAATAAATCATTCGAATAATATAATAATAATAATAATAATAATAATAATAATAATAATAATAATAATAATAATACTCTCCCTAATTCACCCCCTTACGAGTGAATTTCAACCCCTGAAGTCGACTGAACGACTTGTGTAGGGGAAGGGACGGCTATTATTATTATTTGCCGTGGCGCTCCGGGGCGACTTAAGGATGATTGATGGTGCCATTTGACTTACAGGTGAGGAAAACCCGGAAAACCTCACCCACCATCATGATTTGAATATTCGATCAATTCGATTTTTAATCGTCCGAGTACTCGATTGTGCCCATCACTAATTTCAGAGCATCGCATCGCTGATCACTCTGTTGATAACGCTATAGGTTGTTTTACCGACGACACGTCGCTCGACGCAACGCTATTGCACCGTCATGTGGGCCTCTCCTACTCTGAACAAGAATATTGTTAAGGGTATAAAAACCTAAACTAAAATGAATATTTAAGGGCCGATTCCACCGTTGTGTTAAACGGAGATTAAAATGAAATTGTTAATGTAAAAATGTCATAAAAATAACCACCGGTTTATAACTTTTTTAAGCAAACCCATTTTCACAAGCAAGAGTTAATATACTTTTGAAATACCTTGATACTATAAATCTGGTATAATCTACAAAAATATCCACAAATTTTGGATTAGTCCAGTCAACGCCATCCTTATAGAGTTGCTGTGGAAGTTCCCAATGATAAATGGTCACTACAGCAGTCATATTGTATCGTAAAATTTCTTGTATAAGCTTCTTGTAGTAGATTATACCTTCTTCATTAATATTATTTGTGTAACCAGTTGGCAAAATTCTACAAAATACAATCAGAAAAGTCGGTTTCAAATTCAAATAATTTATGTAATGAATAATATAATTCGAATATATTTATATCGAAATACTCATATATAATAAAATTAATAAATTTAAAATTAGTTAAACAGTTGAATGGAGAATTCAAATTACTTTCAAATACTATGTTCGCACTCTATAGATTTTTTTAAATTACCTGGGCCAAGATATAGAAAACCTGTAAAACTGAAAACCAGCATTATACACATTTAGGACATCCTCCTTATAGCGATAATAAGAGTCGCAAGCGATATCCCCTGTGTCATTGTTTTTTATTGGGGAAGGTACTCGATGCACGAACTCATCCCAAATACTTGGGCCTTTTCCATTTGTGTTCCATGCTCCTTCTATTTGGTATGATGACGTACCAAGTCCAAAAATAAAGTTTTTAGGGATTTTTTTGACATGTACATCTGCATAACCAAATCTGAAATATAATAGTATAAATATAAATATTTTGATCATGATCATTCCGAAATTAAACAAATTTCTAAATCTTATTGATTTATTTACGTTAAAACTTTTGAAAATAAATACAAAACACAAAAGTGATCGTGATGATACTAATGACGCGCTAGTAACCGCGTATCTGGTTCTCGAGACTCTCATCAGCCGCCTCAATATTGACAGTCGCTACACAATAGCGTATGCAGATGACCTGGTCATTCTACAAACAGGAAATTTTGAGAACATACTCTGCGAAAGAATGCTCTCAAAATTATAGAACCGTGGTGCAAGTATCATTCACTGTCCACCAATCCTAAGAAGATAGAAATTGTCCTTTTCACAAGGAAAAGGAGTAAAATGGAATTCAAACCACCATAACTCCTAAACACAAAACTAAATATTGAAACAGAGACGTTGCTTTTGGCAGGAAGTGCTCAATACGCTCCCACTGCTTTAAGATAACATATATTTCATAAGCCATATAAAGTTAAAATAGTACAAATAGAAGAGCCGGAAGTGGCAGGCACGATTCATGTCTAAAACAAAAGGAGGCTCACGATGTGGTATATACTCCACATCTTTAAACTTAAACATAAAATGAGCTGTGAGCAATAATACCAGTGTAGTTCAAACCGAGCTCACTGGGATACTCATAGCTGCAAAATAAATCACTAGAAAATATATCACTGGAAGAAACATGATCATCTATACAGATTACAGACAAGCAATACTCACCTTGAATGGACCACGAATTTACTCAGGGTTAGTACTAGAATATCACAAAGCTTTGGCCAAAGTATACATCAATAATGTGGTCAAAGGTGACGCCACATCAAAAGGTAAAATACATTGCTGATTTACTAGCCAAGAGGGCAGCCAACCAAATATTTTTTGGACCTGACCCCTCTACTGGACTGAAAACATCAGTAGTGACAGACCTAATTAAAGAAATTGTGAAACTCAAGGAAAGATGGGATGAAACAAGAAAATGCAGAGTTGCCAGGGAGCTTGTAACTTATCCTGACAATACTACATCAACCAAATACTTGACTATGAGTAGACAAAATGTGCACTGATCACGGTCATTGCCAAGTACCGAAGCATCTCTATATCATGGGGCTGTTAGAATTCGTACTCTGCTAGGGGTGCGAAAAACAAGATGAGATCATTGAGCATATCCTCTACGATTGTTCGACGCTCTCATGTATTAAAGGATTTGTGTTCGGCGAGTATCGGTTAACATCGGACAATATAAGAAAAGCACATCTTCGCGATGTTGTGAACTACATTAAATCCATAGGGTGGTTTACGAGCTAGGAGGTGCCTATCATCTTGGAAGAATGCACAATAGGCCTAGTGAGGCCTAAGTACCGTGGAGTAACCCACCCTCCACACGTTTCAGATACAGATACAGATACAGAACCGCTTATCTGGGTTAAGAGTAAAGAACGCATTTTTTTTAAATAGTTTAAAATTGAAAGCGTTATTAAAAAGTCTAAGAAGGAAATGCCTATTTGTCATACCACTTGGTAAAAGAAGTTCAAATTTAACAAATATATTTTTCTCCATATGGACAAAATGCCATAGAAACCATAATTAAAATCTATTAAAATTGTTGTATTCAACAAAATGGTTGTCATTTCGAACACTAGGTTGTTTTATTAATTAGGTTGGTTTAATTATTTTCTACAGCCTATTCACGAAATAAAATTAATAATTAATTTAGTGACAAATTGTATGAGTAGGTATTATGTTTATAATTAAATCTTTTTGTTAATTCGAAATAAACTTTTGTTTACTTAATTTCCTTATTTTTTAATAAATAGGGTATTTAAAAATGTACTTAAAAAAATGCATGTTCTTGAAAAACATTTTTAAACTACCGAAATAATGGTAAATTGAGACATTTGAATAATACCTACAAAAAAATATATTTTCCGTATTTATTGATAAATATTTTTTTAAATTGTCAAATATGCAAAATTTTGTTATCTAGGGTGTTGTTTTGTGATGGAAATGCATAGTCAAATTTGTTTTTGTAAAATAAAAGAGTAAGGAAATATTCATAAACATCTGGGTAATTAGATACGATATGTATGTATTTTAAAAACTGATAAAATTTTACACATGTAAAAATTGAAATTTATACACATATACAAGGTGTTTATGAAAATACAATAAAATGTCAGACACAAAAGTTTTACATTTCAGAGAGGCGCAAATTTTAAAAATATTTAATATACAGGCAAAGCAAGGCAACATAATTTTTTTTTAATTTTATTTTATTCTAACTTTAATCGTTTGGTTGCTACAGCTTGTCAATGTGTGAAAAAGTCCATTTTCGAATAAAACCTTCAAAACAATTGAATTTAGACATATGGTGTTTTAGACAAAATACACACCGCACAAAAATTATCGCATCACCAATGCTTTTAAATATTTTGGCTACAGTAAATTTATTTTTAAAATGTTTTAAGTATTCCCTGAATGGGCATTATTTAGTGATAAACTCGAGTCAAAAAATTGGTCGTTTCTTCTTTTGTTAGGATCTTGTTTACTTTTCTTCGGGAGAATGCGGATAGGCATACATTCCACTTTGCAATTATGCTGTTAATTTCTGTGTTTTTTGCTTTGATATTAGGTTGTACGATGAAGGTGTATACTATGACTGGTCCACAACGTTTAACTCGCCACTTGACAGATTAAGAGGCCGTCAGAGTAATTGCGCTGATTGAAGATGGGCGAAGTTAAAGGTACGTGGTGGATTTATTGGGTGTACAACAGAGTACCATTTCAAGAGTTGTTCAAAGGCATAGGGAGACTGGACGGTACTCTAGAAGAGAGGTCGTCCTAGAGTTACAACAGCTCTAGATGATCGTTTTTTACGACTTTCAGTCCTAAGAACATGACACTGTACTGCTCGAATGCTCCAGAATGACCTTTTAGCTGCCAGAAATGTTCAGATTTGCGTATAAACCGTACGTAATCGTCTTCGTGAGCATGATATACGTGCAAGGGTTCCAGCCAATGGCTCGCATCTTACCAGAGAATATCGAGTTTGCCGTTTACAATTTGCCAGAGACCATGCTGGATGGGGTGTAGAAGAATGGTTCAATATCCTCTTTACAGACGAGTCCAGATTTTGTTTGTTCTCTTCAGACAGACGTATGCCAGTATACCGAAGACCAGACGACCAACATTACCAATGCAACTTTCGTGAAAGGGAAAGTTTTGGAGGTGGGTCAATAATGGTATGGGGAGAAATAACTTTTCATGGGCGAACGGAGTTAGTAGCTGTTAATAGTGGTAGGATGACGGTTGACCGATACCTAAGGGATATTCTAGAACCACATTTGGTTCCATACGGCCCTTTTATTGGCGAACATTTTGTGCTAATGCACGATAACGCCAGACCGCACGCTGCCGGGATAGTGCGGGAATATCTTGAGGAGGTAAATATTGCTAAATTGAATTGGCCAGCTTGCAGCCCAGACCTCAGTCTGATAGAGCACATATGGGACCACTTAGGTTGGGCGATCCAGCACCGTCAAGGTCCTTTCAGAAACCTTAATGAGTTTCAACATGCAATAAACGAAATATGGAACAACATGGAGCAAGAATACATACATAGGTTGTTTGAAAGCTTACCAAGGCAAATGGATGCTGTGATAAGGGCAAGAGGAGGCAAAACAAGATACTAAAAAAATTGTATTTTTCAAAAAATTTCAAATTTTTCGAAGAATTTAATTTTTGTAACGCAGGCAATATAAATTATATTATGTCCGTTTTTGGTATTCTTTATTTACCATGTACATATTGATTTAAAATGAGAAATTTTATTTATGATTTATATAATTACAAAGGTTCAATATAAATTAAACCAAAAAAAAATATTTTTAAAAAAGTACATGCCCAAAATACTTAGTGATGCGATAATTTTTGTGCGGTGTGTATTTACATGTTTTAGTAGAATTTAAAAATGAAATAAATTGAAAAAATAATATTTATTTTGCTTTGCTTTTTGGAAAATATTTTTAAAATAGTAGCTTCTTCGAACCGTAAAATTTTTGTATTCAACATTTTCTCGTATTTTAAAGAACAACCAAGATATTGGACTTCCACACACTAATGGGCCACCCCGTATATATACATACAATTGACACATAAATACTGTGTGTAGTATTCCAATAAAATAACCCCTACCTCCCTCTAATAATGGCATAATTTATACTTTTGGAAAAAACTTACTATCGCAGTGCATCTCGCTCGGACGTTGCAATAAACAAACAGTTGAATGCTTTAGCCCATTAAATATGCAAAGCATTACAGAAGCTAGCCAAAGTAGGTAGGGTCACAAACCAAACGCCACAGTTATATCCCATAGGCATACTAGTCAAGAAAGTCAACTGACCTAGCATTCGACGATATAAAGAGGCTGCTTTCAAAGTCAATAGATGAAAAAGAAATCGCAATAGCCACTTTTATAGATATCAAAGGAGCTTTCAATAATGCCTCAACAGGTCCATACGAAGGATTATAAAAACGTGCCAGTCACAATAGCCCAATGGATCACTGCCAGCGTAAAGAATAGAACCATTTTATCCACTCTAGGAAAGCCGATTATTTAGACAAAGTTATACTGGGTTCCTTACAAGGAGGAATATTATCTCCAATGCTGTGGTGAGATCTAGTTAACGATATACACAAAACATTGTCCAAAGAAGACAAGCAGTGCTTAGAATACCTGGACGACCTAGCAATTATCGGCAGGGAATAATTTGCAGGCCCAGTATCAGAATGATCTCAAACAGCTCTTAAAATAGTGAAAAATAATCTGTTGTTGATTAACGCATAAAAAAACAACAATTGTATCATTTACAACAAAACATTTACTTGCGAAACTAATACCACTAGTACTAAATAACACCTTTATTCCATTTGTCACAGAAGTCAAATACCTTGAAGTCATATTTGACCAAAGGCTGACATGTAATCACAAAAAACTTGCATGCAGAGCT